TTCTGAGTTTCTAAAAGGTAATTCTCACCTTTAGCTAGATACGTGCTGATGCAGTTGCATTAACTCAGCAGGGTCTCTCCTCCAGACCTGTGAGAGCAAGTTTAATAAATAGCTCATGTTTAAATCCCAGGCAATCACAAATGTTGTCAGTCTGGGCCATGCAAAGCTTGAGGTTCCCAGTAAGATCCTGCCTGCCTCTCCTGTCTGCAGGGGCCATGCAGATGAAGATGGCCACATGCTTTTTCTAGTGATGCTGCTGTTCTAGAGTCTGAAGTAATTAAAGTGCTGGAAGCTAATAGGAGACAGCTCTGAAACACTCTGAACTACACTCTCGTGAGTGTATTAAACTCAGTGTTCACTGGAGAGTTTAATAGCCTAAAGCCAAAAGGGCCCATTAGCTCTTGTGGGCTGACCTCTAGTATGTCATAGACCATTATATTTCACCTGTTTATCCCTTTATTGAGCCCAGTAACTTGGATTAGACTGAAGTATTTTGAGCCCTGTAACAAAAAAAAAATTAATTTGGCTTAGCCATTCTAGCAGTCAGCCTATGCTTAATGCTTCACAGAAGGGTGAAAATCCAGGAGCAGCATCTTGTCTGTCTGACCTGGTGGTCTGTTTCCCTGTGTAAGACAAGTAGTAGGGATAATTCCTAAGTATAAATGAATTCTTTGTGCTCTACTCAGCACTGTTGAATACACACAGTGGCCAGCACTGGTATTTCAGAGACAAATAGGAGATAAAGGAGAATATATCTCACCATGTATGCCGAAGCTCGCTTTAATTTCTGGTACCTACAAACTTTTGATTGAAGTAATGATGTTTATTGGTTAATAGCACGTTAATTAGAGGTGGGAACAGCACTGAAATATGTTGCATGGCTAGAAAGCAGATCATCATGGAATTTACCACTAAAAATTTACCAGTACTTTAGCTGTCATTGAACCATTGCTAGTGGTATTCTTAATTCTGTTAAGAATAGAATCTTTAAACATAGAATCATTGAGGTTAGAAAAGACCTTTAAGATTGAGTACAGCCACTAACCTAGCCAACTGCTAAGTCCACCGTGTCCCTAAGCACCATATCTACATGTCTTTTAAATACTTCCAGGGATGGTGACTCTACCACTTCCCTGGGCAGACTGTTCCAATGCCTGACCACCCTTTCAGTGTAGAAATTTTTCCTAATATTCCATCTAAACCTCCTTTGGTTTGGCTTGAGGCCATTACATCTTGCCCTTTCACTTCTTACTTGGCAGAAGAGACTGACAGTCACCTCACTACAACCTCCTTTCAGGTAGTTCTAGAGAGTGATAAGGTCTCCCCTCAGTCTCCTTTGCTTCAGGCTAACAGCCCCACCTCCCTCAGCATCTCCTCATGGGAATTATTCTCCATACCCTTCACCACCTTCTCTGGACTTGGTCCAGCACCTCAGTATCCTTCTTGTAGTGAGGGGCCCATAACTGAATGCAGTATTCAAGGTGGTCTCACCAATGCTGAGTACAGGGAGATGATCGTTTCCCTGGTTCTGCTGGTCACGCTATTTCTGATAAAGTCCAGGATGCTGTTGGCCTTCTTGGCCACTTGTGCCCCATTATAGAACAACCAGGTAAGGGGCCCTGGTTAGCATGGGTTTATGCAAGGCAGGTCCTGCTTGACTAACCATTGCAGCACTCTGGCTGTGCGAGTTTTTGTGATAGCAAAACCATGTTTTTGTGATAGCAACTATGTCATAGCTTCCTGCTGTGCAATGACTTCCAGCTCCTCCTGTTTGCTACCTATGCTGGTGTGTTGGTGCAGGTGCACTTCAATTGGGCTATTGATCCTGCCATCTTTCTGGGGGGAAAGCCCTAATTCCTACATGACCATTGTCAGGTGCTCCTGTGGTTTCTAGCATATCAATAACCCTTTTGTCTTTGCTACTGCCTGGACCTCCATCCCCTACCATCACTGAGACAGCGGACCAAAGGACCTCACTAACACACCCCATTTTAGGCTACGGTTACTTAACCTCAGTTACACTTCCATGCTGGATGTACCATGGTCATTTTTACTGTTTTCTTCCACTTGCAGAGTCCGTAGCAGGGACCTCCCTTTTATGTGATGGCTCTTGGGCAGGTGTAACAGTCACAGAGGAGATGTCTCCACTCTGCTGGGCAGGAACTTGTCACCATTGCTCCCATCCCTTAAGTCACTGTGTTCAGCTAGATGGAGAAATGGTAGGGAATCCTCCATATCATGAGTCCTGTCTGCCTGCTGCGCCTGTGTTAGGGAGGGTAGGGTGGAATTCCAGTAAGTCAGCCTCTTTCCATCCCTGATACTCCTTAACCTACTTACTCCCTCCCAGACCTCTGGCACTAAGCAGAGGAGCTCCTCTACCTGGATGTACGTCACATAGGTGTGCTCTCTGCTGCTGTTCTGTACTGGCTGAAGAGCAGGGCACAGCCTAATGACTGGGTGGTACAACGGTCCCACCAGAGCTCTGCCTGGGAAGCTGCATCAGCTAAGGTGTGTACAGAGCTTAGCGAGGCTATGGCTTTCTGCTGGGTGGATACCATTGCTACCTGGTTGAGCTGGCAGGGCTTCAATGCCCTTACAGTATACATACCGTTCTGCCCAAACGGTCCTTGCTGGTGAGCCATGCCCTGATTGCCTTCCCTGGTCAGTAGCACTTACTGAGAGCTTCTTTCATATGTGAGCTTAAATCTTATTAAAGCCATGGGGTTGTAACTATAAGCCCAAAATTATATATATGATGAAGACAGAATCTGAATTCAGACCACACCCTCTCTTTCTGCTTTAGGTTTTGGTGATATAAGGTAGTGCAATGCATTACTACTAAGGGTATTTGAAGTAAGAATATACAGCTTGATGAACCTTGCTAGAAATTAGCCTCTTTGGTTTCAGAGGAGGTGCTTTCTGCTGATTACTTTAAGAAATGCCAGCAAATGGAACAGGGTTTTTTTTTTTTTCCTTGCTTCCTTCTGTGCCTTTATTTTGAATCTTGGCTCTGTGTACTTGTCTGCTATTCTATATAAATCTCTTGTCTGGGCAGGTATCTGATAACTTAAAGATTATTTTCTGACAAATAAGCATTTTCCATTTGCTTGCCAATGCTTCTGATCCATGAAAGCAGCTCAACAAAAAGGGATATGAAAACCTTTAAGAAGGCAAGGTTATGATCTGGGGCTTTTTTTTTTTTTAAAAGCTCATTGCACACTAGCTGTCTTTTTTTAAATACTATTCCTGGTTTGAAACTTTAATTCTGGGCGTACATTTGGTGCCCAGATGGTGCAGACTCACACAGAAGCCCATCACGCTGTCAGGGCAGGCGGATACATATGTAAATATTTTGCCTTTTTCCTCTATAATATTTGGCTTTGTCTAATCTAATTGCTGTCAAAGGCAGAATGTGAAGAATACTTAGGAGGAACAAACAATGAGGACCTCAAATGTTTGTATTGCACTAACTTTGGAAGATGCTAGTAGACTGCCATGTAACTAATAATTTTGTTTCCTGGATTTTCTTCTTTCTCTTGCTGTGAATTCATGGTGTATGATCTAAGTTCATGCGAAGTAATGCTTTACAAACTGAAGTATAAATCTGTATTTCTAGCAACATAAAAGCATATTTAACCCCTTGGAGCTGTTGATATAAAGCTAATGGCTCTGCCATTTCAGTTCAGGCTGACAGTAAGCGTTCTCTACCTGCCTTTTGGTGTATAGCACTCTTTCTTATTCATATAATTCATTGCTTCATTTAATTATTCTATTGAGTGCCTGTCAATGTATTTTTAATACATAAAAGCTTTTCCAGCATAGTTGCTTCTCTGACCAGTAGTAGCTAGTAGCAAAGAGTGTGGTCAACCACATTAAGGATACTTATTTAGTTATTGGAGGCCTGATCCAAAAATACCGTAATATTAATGGAAAAAACACTTTCATTAGCTTTGAATGTGAGTTCTTAGTGAGCAGGTCTAATAAAACCAGTATTAATTGAGGATGCTGGGAAAAGAGATGTAGGAAACATTGCTGTTTTTCATCAATGCAAGAATGGTTGCATTATCACGTTTCTGATCACATGTGAAATTTGGCTGGGCTGTAATTCATGGAAAGCATCAGGCTATGCCAGACCTATCCTCTAAGGATACTAACTACACAGAGAGGTGCCAGGAGATTGGGGCCGGGAGCTGTGCTTATTGTAGAAGAAGGAAAATGACTGTAAAAAGATAATGTAATAATGTGACCAGAAGACAAAACAGAAGCAGCATGTGCTTTTTTTCCATGGAATGTGGATGAAATCCTGCCTACTGGGTATGTGTGTGTTGTGTGTGGAAATTGTCCATTTCAGCTATTCATGGTGTCATCTGAGTCATTATTCAGGGATGCCAATAAATTCTGGTTTTGAGCCTGCAATGGAAGTACCTGGATACTTTCAAGAGACCATAGTCTGTCACATATCCTTCTCTTGTGTTGCTGTTTGGCTCTGGGTGGAGGGGGATCAGGAAAATTGCTCACTATCTGTATGTATTATTTTTCATGTGCTGCTTTTGGTTACCGAAGGAAAGATCAAAGATGTTTGCTTTATGCATCTCCTGGAGCATGGGCACTGAGACACATTACTGCACAGTAAGCTAAGATATGCATTAACACTTTCTGCACAGTAAATGCTGGTATGGCTGCTGCTAGTTTACGGTTCAAAGAAAAGAAATAAAAGGAGGGAGTAATTTGCCACATATATGTGTGTATATATATATCTATCTGATGGTGAAAGCAGACACTCTGGCAGCTACTGCAGCGACTTCGGTGTATCGTACATTTGTATGTGAGCTTACCATATAGATAGCTTGTGCTTGTCATGGGCCAAAGACAGTGTTGGATGTCACAATGGACTGATTGTAGGGATTGCTTTGAGCTTAGCCGTTGCTGTTTGTCTACCGTTCTGAGGACGTGTTGCATTAATTTAACAGTGCTTTCTCTTCTGCATTTTGCCCTTATAGGAGCAATTGAGCGGTGCACATACATCAAGTACCACTACTCCTCAGCAACCATTCCCAAGAACCTTACCTACAACATCACCAAGACAATCCGCCAAGATGAGTGGCACGCCTTGCGTAAGTGGTGCTGGCTTTCTTCTCCATTCTCTTCATGTACGGACTAACGGAGGAACTCACTGATAAATGAGAACGGAGGCTTTGACTGACAACCCATTCAGAGCCCTCTTCTCACATGCAGTTTGTCTTTGTAGCAGACTGATCGATTGTTCTTTGGACCTACATCTCTGTTTCTGCTGCTGGCTAGAAATTCTGCTGAGGCATGAAGAAGTGGTGGTGGGGAAGAGGCATTTGTATGCAGTGATTTAATATTGAGATAAATAAATAATAAAATCAATGCCCTATTTTTTAATTCAGTAGAATACTTTGTACGTGAGTGTATTCTCATGCAGTTCATGCTGCTGGTGAGTTTCCAGCTTCCAGGAGAAATTATTGCTGGCTTTTATTGTAGAGTATGTCCTGCTGCCAGCAGCTCCTGGGTGTTGCATCACTCTCCTTTGAGGACCTAGAAAGAGAAATGCTGCATTCTTTAAAGCACAGGGAAAGAGCTTAGCCCTCAGTGATAATTGTAGACAGTGGTCACCAACTTGCAACATTTGCTGAAGCAACAAGAACTGACAGGGCTGGAATTGCCTTGGGATGCATTGGCTGGCCTTAAAGCTTTTCTTCTTTTTATCTTGGAATGATGGAGCTGACTTAGTAGTTTTTGATTTTATCTTTTTTCGATGTTTGACATTTTCAAGATGGAACTTTTGCTCCAAATTCATTGCTTATGACACCAATAGATGGGGAAATACGACTTCACTTCCCAGCAATCACTTCCTTTTAACTATCTCCAGTTAAACAGAGATGAAGGGAAGGATGATTGTGGTATTGCCAGCTTTTGCCTGTCACAAGCACATAAAAGTTGTTCTGATTAGACAAAACGAGCATTTAAATGAGATGGGAGGGAAGAGAGAAGGGAAAGAAAGCCACATCTGACAACTTTGAGCATGAGTAACTGTCTCTTTATGGAAGATGCTAGTGTAATAATATGACCGAGTCACTATTAGGTATTCACCCTGTGACATTTTGGACCCAGCCTTGTGCACGGAAACTTGATCCGTAGTTCTGGCTTCTGAAAAAATCCAGCAGCATCGCTGATGCTTTTTAGAGATGGTATATACTATTTGAGTAGAAATCCAAGAAAATCTGAACAGTTCTATATTTATTCACATATTCAATTCCATCTGGTTTATGCTGCTCTTGTAGTTTCACTTTCAGTAGACTACACATTTGTGTTCACAAAACATCGTGAAAGTGCTTATGGCAGGGGTTTGTGCTGTAAAATATGGTACAGTGGTTTGGAGGGGTGAGAAGCATTTCCAGGTGATGGCATAAGCACTTTAACTGCATGTACATTGTACTTTAAGAAAGCTGACCATAAAAAGGAAGCTATGGGGATGCTTTTTTTTTTTTTTTCATTTCTCCTTGTACCCAAAACCTTCAGGAAACCATTATCTGGTATATTACGGCAAAGATGGTGAAAGGTTGCATTTCTTTGAAAATGGTAGTACCACCAAGGCTATGACTGGATGTGCTATATTCAGTTTGGCTTCTTCAAGGAACCACCAGGGCAGCTCCCTAAAGCCACTGTGAGGGGTAAGGCACTCAAAGCCCAGGGATTATTTAGTGTTCTGGCTTGTTTGCTTCTTGGAGCAAAGCAGACACCTGTTGGGCTGATGCTGGTTTATGCCATCAGGAAGACTTTAGAAAGCAATTCCTGTTTGTCACTTTTGGTTAGTTTTTTTGTTGTTGTAGTCCCTAACCTCTCCCTCTCTGATAGGCTGTAGACAACCCAGGCTTAAATTTCAATTTTGCAGTCTTTAAGAAACCACTTTCTGGTGAAAAAGGGTAACCACAGCATTGTGGATGCATTGAAGATAGGAATTTCTAAGTATGCTTAAGCAAGCTGTCTACATCTTGTTGTCTTTCTGGGAGAGCTAGGATTAGAAATTTTCTTGAGGCAGCCAAGTAGTGCAGAAAAGGGATTAAGACACAGATAAGAGGAGGGGGATGGTCTTCATACTTTTAGAGCCAGTCTAGCATGATGCTGTTTTATTTTTGTCTCTAGCTTCTTTTATTTAAACATTTTGCTTCCTTGATCATTTTTACTTTTGAACATACTCGTATTTGCCATAGGACTTCTTTGTGTACTTATTCCTTGAACAATTTAAATAAGAAAAGCTTTGTTTTTTACTACAGGATTGTGGGTTAGCCTGCTGTGGGCTCAGACCTGCCTAGAGACTGGCAGGGTTAATGCTTTTGGGTCACTGCAGTCGTCCTCATTGTTATCTTGGCAAGAAAAGGGTAAAAGGGGGCTTTATCATGGCCACATTTTCTCCAAGGCAGGTGATGAAAGTATTGTGGCTTTAAAGTGAAAAATGAGATGAAAAATTCTTCCTTTTCTCCAAAAGCTTTTATTTTGCTGACTCACAGAGCCTATTGTGTGTGGTAGATAGCTGGGTCTTTAAGTTTTTTGTTTTCTCTGCATATATCACAAGCCTGAATTTGTGTTTTGGATCAAATGTGGCCACAAAAGAAGGGATTTCTATTTGTCTGCTCTTCTCCAGTTTTTCATTGCCACCTGGGCCTGTCTTCCCCAGTAGCTGTGTTTTGTGTCCAGGAACATGGAGAGTGGAAAGTGCTGCATCTGGGCAGAAAGTGGCTGGAATTGCTATGGAAACTGATCTCTTCCTGCACAGCTTAGAAACTGTCACCAGACTGCTTTAGAGAGAACCAGTTCACAAATAGGTAGTTGATATTTCCTGTGAAATGTTTACAGTTTCTTGGGGTGTTGTTTGGGAAGTGCTCCTTGTCTGGCATTCTGAGATCTCCTTTGCCTGTCTCCTACTCCCCCCACTTCTACTGCAGGATCACGAGTATGGGCTCTGAATTTAGAACATTGGCATGGGGAACTGCATTGTCAGAAGAGGAACTGTAACGCCTTGTGTTAATTGAAATGATAACATGTATGTGCTGTTGAGAACTGCAGTAAACCTGTATTTGTGGTGGTCTAAAAGCTATTTACATGAAAAATGAATTGTAAAGTCAAAAGTAATAACCTGACACATTCTGAGAGGAGCGGGTATTGGAGGAAATGAAGGTTTTCCACAGGATGTTAGTGGTAATATTTTAATTCATATAGCATATATGCTGAAAGCTGAATATATTTTATCAGCCTTAATGGTCCAAACTTTTCAGGGGATTAAGGCTTCCTCATTTAGGTCTACAAAGCACTCAGGTACCTTCTTAAAAACTAGTAAAACTACTGTGGGGGGAGCTTGGAAAACCTCATTTTGTAGCCACTGAAGGTAGTGGCAACAGTTAGCAACCCTGGAAAAGACCATATACTTTCTACAAGCTTCCCAAACCTTCTTATTCCATGGAACACAATGTTGAGATTTTCACAGAAGCTCAGATGATAGCTTGACAATGCATTAGTAACACCAGTAGGCTCATGGGCTTGACCCTGTCTGCTTTTATAAGCAACAATAAATATTTCATTGTTGTATCTGTATTAAGTGCTGACCCAAGAGAATTTTTGCCCTCCCCCCCTCCCCTTTTTTTTTCTGGGTACTACTGCAAGCAGTGTTTTTAACAAATAGGCAGCATCCCACTTTTCTTGCTCCTTTCTTCCACTCTTTCCCCCACGCTCCCTTGGGTATCTTTCCGTTGCTATCATACTCTACAAGGAAGTGCTGTTTCATTTTTAATCAACTGCCTTGACCCTGAAGGTACACCCTGAAGTATGACACTGCCCTGCTGGTCAGAGCCATTTGGCTGACAATATGATGTCATTCCTTAATGCCCTGGTTGTTAAGGCAGATGGGGCAGCCAGCCTGGAGATTAGTCAGGCGGCAGGTGCTCATGCCTGGAGGAGGTTTAGTGGTGGATTGCCACTGTATTCATTGTTCTTATAGCTAATGACCAGGTGGTAGTGACAGACCTTCTCATCCTCACCCCTCCCCCCCGCTGTAAGGTTTTCTACATATCCTGCTATTTCAAGCTAAGGCATAAAAATGGTTGGGTGCTTTTTGGGGGGTTTTGAGGTTTTTTGGGGGGATTGGTTTTTTTTTTGGCATCAAAATGAAGACCTATTTTGAAATCTGTAAGGGATTTTATTGCCTTCTGCTAGGCTTCATCTTAGGATCTGCTAATATGGCTGTGACCTTAATACCTACACTAGTGAATAGCTTTCCCAGCTGTGCACTACTTTATATTTCCTCTACTACCTTTGCTTCTTGGGGACAGAAGAGCAGGGAAGGAGTAAGAAGTCAGTAGACCTCACAGTCCTGAGTTGACAGAGGTGCTGAGTAGCAATCATGGGCAAAATTAAGGAAGGGAGGAAATGAAGACTTGGAAATGGGTGAAAATTTTTACTAATGAGTTGAGAGAAGTAAGACAACGGAGTACCAAACACTGAGATTGGGGTAAGGGTTGGAGTGGGTTTGGGAGGTAAGGCGCAGAAATGGGGAAGCTCTCTCTGTTTGTGTGTGTTGGAGTGGGGTGGGAAATGAACAGGGAAGGGTCTCCTCCAAAGCCTTTTTCAAAGTGCTCAAGTCGGGAGTCTTATTGTACATCTATTCCTAACACACCTGTGGAACACTGGCAGAGGGGAGGTCTCACTCTGCTCCATCAGCCAGCAGGTTCTTCCCCCAGCTTGGGTAATGGGGCTCAGAGGTGAATCGGAAGTCTCATTCTGCTGATGAACCACTTGCCGCTTTTCTGAATCAGTAGAATTCCTGCTTTTGCCTTTTGATGATTACTTTAAAGTTAAAAACTTGGATGGGCATTTTTAAAGTTGCAAACAGAAGCATGTAAAGTTAAGAGACAACACTGCTCAGGCTGCATACCTGACCTTAATTTATCTCCATTCAGCACATTCATTATCAAGTCTTTAATTACTGTAATCACATACTCTGTTTTCCGCAGCACCCCTGCCTTGTTCCATACATTGGGGATATGCTATTTCCATTCAAGGTCTTCAATATTTTTTTTCATTGCTTAATATATTGTTG